GGTTCTGCCAAAAAAAAAATTGATTGACTAAACTTATATGCTTATATCTGTAATCTCAGCAACTATATTGAAGATGGCAATGTACAATATAACAAATCCTGTTTAATACCTTTCATCTTATTTTTTAAGTTATGTATTGTTTCTAATGTCTTATCTGTTATTTTTCTATTCTCTTTAAAAGAAAAGAAGAATGAGAATTATTTCTTATAAATAGCAAAAAACAAATAAAAGGTAATAGTTTGCTCTATTGAAGAAAGCAAGGCGCAGGACGTTTTAAAATATTCTTTTTATTAAAGTGAATTCCTATGGTCAATTTGAAACAATACATTCTGTACATTTCTATACTTTCATTTAACTTATGTAACAAATTCTGGCCTACAAAATGTTTAGAGAATATTACTTAATGGCAAATGTTTACTATGTTAACAGTTTTGAAAAACATACCATGTCTTTCCGTATCATAGCATCATAAAGTTTAATTTATAAATTAGGCAAGCAGTGAAACTTTCTCAATGACTACTAATAAAACCATTACAGCAAACTATAATTAAAGGTCTAAAAGAAGGGCTGAGTGTATAGCTCAGCCACACAGAGCCTGTCTGGCAAGCGCAAGGCCCTCAGTTCGATTCCTATTAGAAATATTAAAATGAAAACTTAAAAAAGCTAGAAAAGAGAATATACTGAACTATTTTTATATGACATCTACGCGAACGTGAATTTCACAGTTTAAAGATTAAGAAGAAGCCACTTCCGGCTCCTGATGCATTTAGAGATATCACACTGAATAATTATCATCTGTTTAAGGTAGATGTAAATATCTCCACATGTAATTCTAGATATCTGATAAATAAAAGTGATAGCGAATTATGTGGAAAAATAGAGGTTTTTTATAATGTGGCTGAATTAAAACTAGAAGCAACATTTCTATGATAAAATACTGACTTCTATAAGTCACCCCGTGAACAAAACCTAAGAAGGGGCACTTGGCTGGAGAATTCAAGCCACTTTGTCACTCTCATTCTGAAATTTTCAAGGTCAATTAGATTTCTCCATTCTACTAAAGTGACAGCTATGTCAGTATGTAATCCATTGGACTTCCTTTTCCTGTACTGGGCACCCTTTTGTGCTAAGTAAAATATTAGAGAAAGATTGTACCTGACTCCCTTCTCTCCTCCAAAAAATGGCAGGCTGAGGGTTTCCAGTTGCTTCACACTGAAAGGTCACAGTCCGACCCAAGGCGACAACCTGGTCACGGGGTTTCACCACAAAGTGAGGCGGCTCTAAAGGAGATGAAACAAATTACACTGGATTAGAGCATATCCTTAAGTCGCAGATGGCATAGTTTCCTCATAGCCCACGTTCAGCCGTTCTTTTATACAATATGTTCTGCACAACAGTAATATTGGGCCAATTCTCACCATTTAAGTTGAAGTTAGATTGGGAAGTGTGTATGTGTAAAATGAAACAGAATTGTCTTGTGAAGAGGCTTTTTATTATTTGACCTCCTATTTAAAGTAATTGTTGAGCTACAATTTGACCCTTTACATTCAAAGTATACATGAAATTTGTATGAACAAATATTGTCTTTTTTTATTTAGTTCTGTTTAAGGGTGCATGAACTTTAATCAGACAGACAAGGGGCTTCTGAGGCAGGCAGGTTTTAAAATTACTCTAATTTAACTCAAAAGCCCCTGAAATGCTACCATGCAAATTATAACCATTTAACATCTTCAGTCCAATTACTTGAATAGAAATGAATTTGAAGAGATAGTGGAGTCGAATGTCGGCTTCATTTACATAGACAAGGGCATGTTCAAACAGAGTATCTATGGAAATGAGGATGAATCTGAAACATCTGCGCACTCCACCATTATACGTATGGCCAGCTTTGTCCAAACTGTTTGATTTATACAGACTTCAATGGCCACTTCATCCAGCAGTAAATAGAGTGTCAGAAAATTGTGTCAGTTATACTGAGCACAATAGCAGCTGAAAACATTAGGTATGTGGAGCCTCGGGGTGGGTGAGGGAAGAGCTTGCTTTTGAGCTGACCTTCCTGCCCAGGAAAATGTGCATTGAATGTCTTTTTTACCTACTGTTTACACTTTTGAATCCATTTCTTATCAACTATCTGAAACACCTAATTATTATTCTCTATTGCTTCATTGCCAATTGAAGTGATTTAACTTTTTTTTTTTTTTTTTTGGCATAAATTGGGATTGAACTCAGATCCTTGTGCTTGCCAGGGAAATGCTTATTCCACTGAGCCATCTCCCCAGCCCCCTAATTTAACATTTTAAACCAGATAATTGACAGTTTCTATAAGGCTTTTCTAATCTTCTTTTTAGGACTTTTCCACTACTTCTAAACTTTCTTTAAAATGTACTTTCAGTTACTTTTGCCATTCACCTATGAAGACTCCCTAAAGTACCTATCAATCAAGGATTATATTCAGATTATTAGATACAGATTATGATTATAAATGTTACCCTCATACTCATGCTGTAGATTTCTTTTTCTACTAAAAGTGTTTTAATGATTTTCTCTTGCTTAATGTTTTGTGGTCAACTGTATCTGATGTTTGCATACATTTGCAGTAATATATCATGTTGCATATAAGTGTGTATTATCAATTTATGCATTTTTAAAAAATGCCTGGCATCTCCCATACTGTGGGTACTAGAAAACACTATTTATTTATTTATTTATTTATTTATTGTTCTGTATTTTAGGGAAGGGTCTAGAGGGTGTTCAGGGTCTCACTACTGGATAGGACTCATAGTGATCCACCTGTTTACAGCCTCCAAAGAGCTGGGATTACAGGCACACACCATCATGCCCAGTCTCAATTGCTGTGTCAGTGTGCCCTGGGGCAGGGCCGGCACAGCAGGCCTGGGAATAGAACCCCTGGCCCCTGCACCTGCTTGCAGGTGCTTTAATCCACTGAGCTATTCGGCTGGCCCGAAAACACGTTATGAAAGATATTAAATGTGATTTTTTTTCGGTACCAGGGATTGAACTCAGGACCTTGTGCTTGCCAGGCAAGCACTTATTCCAACAAGCTATCTCCCTGCCCCTTAATTATAATTATTTTAAAAAATAAAAGCCCTTGAAAAAGCAGCAGAAAATGACTTGTCTAAGACTGCATGATGGCAATCTGAGGGAAGCAGTTAGACCTCTACCTTCTAGATTAGTGTGCTTTCTTCTTCGCATGCCTTGTTTGTTTTTTTTAAATTGAGGTTTAGTAAAAATTGTACCATTTGAATGGAAGATTATAGGAAACCTGAGAAATCATGTGAAATGCTTTCAAATGTCCTCTAACTTATAGAGAAGAAAATATAAAGTTAGGAGACACTGTTTAAGTTCAGTCTGGTAACATTGAAGCTATAACTTATAATTTTTTTAAAAACTGTGATTGCGATTGAGTGGTTTACTCATGAATGTGGCAAACACTGTCATTACCCAGGTATAATAATAGGCATGAGCATCACTTCTTGGGGATTTTCCTCCAGTAGAAGGAGTTTTCCAGTCCCTACTTGAGGGTTGGAATGATTGACCTAGAAATGAGACCAAGAAATTGAAAGGACTGACTGGATAATAAACTAAATCCAGACCAGAGTTTGGTTTCTTTCTATGAAAGAAAACCCAATGATTAATTAGATGAGTGGGAGAATATGACTTTCCAATATGAAGGGAATTTGAGCAGGAAAATATAAATATTCAAACCACTTAGTCAACTGAAACGTTTGGGTGGTCTCTTCCCTAAATCTGAGGAACATGCCTAAGAACGTGTGCCAGAATCTATGTTTCTTTTATAACATGCCAGTTCTCTCAGACCTCAAAGACTGACTTGCTTGGAAACACTGAACACAAACCCTCATGCTAACAGCACTTATCGTGAAGCGATCCTTCCACATAGGATATTTGTCTAGAAATAAACTGATTGGACTTTGTAGGCACAGTCTCCTGCCAACAGCAGCAGTGACATCAGCCACAGGCTGGGTCTTAGGAATCACACTTTTAAAAAATCCTCAGCTGGGTGTGGGGACACATGCCTATAATCCCATCTATTCAGAAGACTGAGGCAGGAAAATTGATTGAGATCAGGAATTTGAGGCTAGCCTGGGCAACAGAGTAAAAACCCATCTCTATCTCTCTGTCTCTATCTCTCCAAAAAAAAAAAATGGAAAAAAGAACCCTTTTCTCTATGTAAATATCTGATGTATTTATATCTCTAATAAAAATATTTTAAGGGACTAAATATGTGTTATCAATCTGCAATTGTTACCTGCCTATTTAGAAACAGAAGTTCATCATATGTACTTAACTGATATTTATAATGATATAGCAGAATGCTTTTTTAATGAGCAGAATGTATTTGTTGAGGGAAAGAAAGGTGTTCTCCAAGAGAGGGACAGGAGGGGGACCCTGAGCGGGTTGTCCCCTCAGAATGCTTTTTGAAGCTAAAATATTTATTTAAATTTTATATACAGAAAGTACATAAGTATAATTATCATGATCTTGAAATTTGGTGAAGAGGACAAAGAGAAATTCACTTTTATTTCTATTATGCAAATTGAATAACATGAATAGGATTTAAAATATTCCCCCAAAATCTCATTTGAAGGACTGTTTAATAAACACTACTCAAATTACCTTAAATTATTTAAACAGATTACTGTTTTAAATTTAGGTTTTTATCATTTTCACTGTTAAGGACAAGGGTACAGTTGGTAGCTTTCTCGCAAAAACAGTCAGTATTATTTCCCCGAATTAAAATTGCAGGTCTTCAAAACAGGCAAAAGACCTGGAAGATAAGAGAACAGCTAAACTGTACCTAGACATGTGCTTTCTCAGCTGATACTTTCGCCATATTACACAAATTGCCTTCTGCGCAAGTTACCAACACTGAGCATCATTTGTGCTAAAATAAGCATAGATGCTCCATTAATGTAGTGAAGGTAAGCTTGCTGCCTTTTTCCTTGTCACTGCCATCTTACTTGTTTTCAGTACTATCCTCATGAATTTACATTTCATATTTCTTAAAATTCTTGATTTGTGAAAATTGTATTAATTTTGAATGTATATGGGAAATATATTTTATCATTTTGTTAATACATCTCGCCTATTTAGGCAGTACTTTTTTGCCACTGTATCAAGAAAACTATAACATTCATAGTACATACATGTATACATCATAGAAACATGCAACTCCATTGTCATACTACATCTTAATGCCTTATTTTTATATGTAAATATGCATGCATCTACAATTTGGTATGGGTTATCTGACAGAAAAAGTTTCTGTTTTAAGCAGCTCATTTTTACATCAAACATGTTAAGGAACCCATCCTACCCATGTGAATATGCATTGTCCCTTCAGTAAAAAGTACATGTCCTCTTCACTGAAAGAAGAGTGGGACAGATTTTCTTAGGATGAGAGTTATTCTCTGAGAAATTTTAGCTCATTTAAAACTTTCTTAAAGATACTGTCACAAATGGATAGAGTGAATGGACCTTCCCCAAAGCAAGTGCTTAGAAACTGGCTCTTTATTTACATAAAACAATGGTTTACCAAACCAAGTTTTGATGAATCTTAGCCACACCATGTGGTTCTTTCATATCTAAAATAAATTAATTTGACACAGAAAAATAAAGTGAGCACAAAATAGCTGCCATTCACCAGCAGGACTTTCAGTGGCTATTAGCAAGCCATAGTTATAACTCAGGCAATCATGTTTTCACGAACACATGGAAGAAAAAAATACTTCTGAATTGTGCCCAAATTTTCCCCCAAAAGCATATGCCTAACTGCAATTTGGCATATACTTTTATTTGTTCAGTTTTATAAGGTACAAACTGCAATCTCACTTCACAAATGTACGGTTTGATCACTCAGTTTTTTATTTATTTCAGGAAGCAAAAACTTAAAGGATGCAGCTTAGACACGATGTAAGAAGACACGAAGTTAGCAACCCGGTTACCTTTGCTCCTTGGCACAGTTACCCATACTCCTGCAGATTTTATTCTGTGCGGTCTGTCTTTGTGGCCAATGACAAGTGAAACATGGAGGCTGATTGGTTGAAGGGCATGAAGGGGGATGGATGGAAAGGGGAAGAGAACTTCCAGTCACAGGGACACGATGATTAGAAGATGGCCAATAAAATGTCAACTTACCAGACCCAACTAAAACAAAAAGAAAGAAAACATGGAATAAATAAAAATAAGGAAACTTAAAATGAAACACAAAAACTAATAGACAACAATGATGTTTCTTTTTCATGTAAAATGAATTATTAGTTTTTTGATGCATTGTTCTGCACTATCAACGGGTGGACATTTGTTAACATTTCAAGTACAGCAATGAATAATATAAAAACAAGTGAAACTTCAAATTTCTAGCATGATTGAATGGCAGAGCTACAAGTGACAGGTATACAATTATACAATGGTGACTGCACTTGGCAGATGGCAGGACAGATAATTATACATGCAATAGATTTTAAAACCAAATAAATCTTCAGTGCTAAGGCTACATGGAAATCAAAATTGAACATCTTTTAAAGAAAATGCGAGGACTGGAGAGATAGTTCACTGGCACAGCACATGTCTGGCAAGCATAAGGCACAAATAAAAAAGTGTTAAATTTCCTAATTTTATCATCAGATTAGTTTTCAGGAGGTTCATATGCTGTCAATAATTTTACACTGAACTCACACTTCTCACATATGATTAAGAATGCAAATCACTCTATGATCTCGTTAATAGAGGTTATGACTGTATATATGTCAGGATTGTGGTATGGGATTTTGCATGTCTAACATGAACCAGTTGCTGCTGGTCTATGACTACACTCAATAAGGAAGATACTTAAAAGAGTATAGCACTTGCAGGCTTACATCTAGTAAGCTAAACAAATAATTTGAAGATAACATTACACAACACAACAACCCTTGTCAAATTCCTATTATTTTGTTTTATTAAATTTTTGTATCAAGAATGGACTAGAGTGAAAAACATTTTTAATATGTTTCTTCTAAAGAAAAGTCATTCATGATTTTCACTCACTAATGTTAGAGAAATGTTTCAAGAATCACCACATAGTTTTACTGCCTGCACTCAAAGAAACAGTGGATATGATGTAATTACATATCTTGGTACCTCATAGGTGATGTCTTTTTTTTTTTTTTTTTTTATTCAGTACAGAGTCTACAGGGTCTCACTACTAGACTGGACTCATAATGATTCTCCTGTTTTCAGCCTCAAAAGCACTGGGATTACAGGTGCACGCCACCTTGCCCAATCTCAATCGCCATCTCAGCTCTGCCTAAGCAGGCATTTTAGTCTGCTGGGCTATCTGGATGGCCTTTTTGGATGGTGTCTTTTAAATGACACAAACAAGTACTTAGAAAGTACTAAAGATAGAATATAACAAACTGACACAGTAAATTTTTCTTTGAAACAACAAAAAGTTGTAGGATTATTTTTTGGATTGATTTGTAAGAATAAACTTGATCTTATTAGACCAATGCTGCAAATCAGGATATCAGAGAAATGATTCCTAAATATTTTCAGTAAATCAAAATTCCTTTAAAATCCTTAAAATATATATAATATACTAAAAACAAGAAAGTTATCAGGAAGCAACTCCTTTCAAATATAGAAAAACACTTCTTTGATGATAATTATCAATAATCAGACCATATAATTAGAATATTTTATTAATTAATAGCCAATAAGCACTCAACATTGGTTGTTATATTATACATTATTGTCTTCAAGGTAGTTGTTCTAATTACCAGATGTAAACATGTAAATTTGATCAAAATAAAAAAAATTTAAGCATTAACTTTTCCCTTCTAAAAACCAACAGAAATGGTAGTGCAATCATCCTATCTTGTATAACAACCAATGTTGAATTTTATCCTTTTGATTTTTTTTTTGAGATTCTATATCATTTCTAATGTTTTGTCTATTATTTTTCTTCTCTTTAAAAATAATAAAATACTTTGAGGAATCTTCATAAAAATGTCTAATATAAGAATTTCAGACTAATGCATTGTCATATTACATCAATGACGTATTATAACTAGAATTTTTTTTTTTTATGGAACCAGGGATTAAACTCAGGCCCTTGAGCTTGCCAGGGAAGCACTTATTCCACTGAGCTATCTCTCTACCCCTTAGAAAATATTTTATAATATACTAATGACCTTAGAAGTTATCTAAGGCCATCTCATAATATGGAAGCTTTTACAGCATCAGAAGTTATTGAGAGGATTATTTTAAATGACCTTCTAAGCTTTTAACAACTATGATTACAAGGAAATGATTCCGTTTATCCAAATGTAAACCTGTCTATTCACAGTTTTAACTGGCCTTTCATTTGTTCTAGTTTCAGTGAATAAATATAAGCCAACGTATCGCTACACAAAAATCATTTTACTCACTTAAGAAATCCCTAACTTTCTCACCTCCCCACATAAATTACACAGATTCTTTTTCACACACTTCCCATTTCTCTACAACTCTCTTGGATCAGGCAACAGATTGTCTTTCTATGTAAAGAGCAGAGACCTTTCCATGAAAAAGGAAGTGCTCCTATTTTCCAGTTGACTGTCAGAAAGAAACAACACAAAAAGCAGAGTAACTTGCAAACTGCTGATCCTTTATTCTCTGAAGCTTATTGTTTAAGCTAAGGGGCCTTCATACCTACTTTTCTTGTAACTTTCCTTAATTTTTCTTTCTGCTTTTAAGATGACTTTGTCCCAGTTCCCTTTCTGTTAAGAGAGAGGAAAGGTCTGTCTCTGTCTGTAATAAATTAATAGAATTCTAAAATGTTGGGGCTAGAAGAAATCTTAGACATCTGCCTAACCTTCTTCTTTGCACAGGAAAACAGAAAACCTACAGTTAAATAACATTTTGAAGGTCACAGATGGCGAACCAAAGACAAGCTTCCAGGTCTCGACTAAATAATGTCTCTGCAAAAACTGTACTACTGATTAATCAGTCATGGGAGAATTATACGCAGTGAAACACAAAATATATTTGATTTTACATTTAAACTTGACATAACCTGTTTAAAGTCTTTATTATCAAAATCACTATTGCACATATACAAAAACTATTCCTAAATAATCTTTCATGATATTAAAATTCTCTAGAACATTTAGCTATAGTCATAAGAAGATGTGGAAAACTAACAGGTACTTACAAAAGCATACTAAAAACTACTTGAAATATTTACATTTTTGCAACAAGAAGTTATTCAGTCATTTCACACTGAACCAGCTTTAATCCTTCCAAGAAATGAAAACATTATAAATTGAATAAAATAAATCTCCTTTCAAAAGTAAAAAAAAAAATTACCATCTGGAAAAAATATTTTTAAAGTAAATAAGTAGGAAGATAAAATAACATTTAAAAGTGAATATATATTTAAGAGACTAAAGTTTATTTTCCTTTTAATATATCAACAATATAAAGTATCTTCAGTGACAGGACCAAATTTTCTTATATTGGACAGATGTTGGAAAAAGTAACAAATTAGGAAATTTTACATGGGGCTGAGTTCGAATAAAAACCTCACTATTTTCATCTAGATTACTTCTTCTTTGGGGGAGAGGGAGACTAAAATATATCAAAATTCATATAAAACATGTTATATATATTGTGATTAATTAATAACTATGAAATTTTCTGAGCTGGAAGAAGAAAAAGAATAGCTGTCTAAACACATGAGGAAGGCCCAGCTAAATAGCTCAGGAGATTAAAGCACCTGCAAGCAGGTGCAGGGCCGGGGGTTCAACCCCTGGGTCTGCTGGGCCAGCCCCACCCTCAGGGCATGCTGAGACTGCATTTGAGACTGGGCATGCTGGTGTGTGTCTGTAATCCCAGCTCTTGGGAGGCTGTAAACAGGAGAATCACTATGAGTCTGATCTAGTAGTGAGACCCTGAACACCCTCTACACCCTTCCCTAAAAAATAAAAAAATAAAAATAAAAAAATAAAAATTGGGGGAGACATAAAATAGTATATAATTGACAATATATGAAAAACACCAGTTGAAATTTTGGGAGAATTTAGTGGTCTTTATCACACACATAGACTAAAAAGACACATCAATTTTTGAATGTAACATCAAGACTCCGATTTATTGAACTACCTTGACATATTCTATAGTGTAGGAATGTGCACGGCTCAGAAAATAATCGGTAGTTGCATATAAATAGGAAAAAAAATCTAAGAGAGGATGAAAAGAAGAAGAGGAAGGAAAGAAGGAAGAAACCAAGGACACAAGGAAAAAGAGAAAGGAAGGTAGAAAATGAAGGCAGGAGAGTAGGGAGAAAGAAGTTCCCCATAATTCTTCCATCTGCTTGTCACATTCAGGAAACATGAGTCAAAACAAAAAAAAAAAGTAGTGGAGAAAATTATGTGAGAACTAGAAGAAAAGATTTTTGGGGTCTGCAAAGTAAATTAGCTAAGCAGACCATTAGAAGTCTTCAGATTAGGTCTAATAAACACAGAGACTAGCCAATTTTGACAATGACTTATGCCAGCAAAAGAGAGACTGGACCTAAGTAATAGGGTGAACACTTAGGCAAAGTAAAGAAGAAAAGCAGTTAACAATGAAGGTCACTGAATCATGAATTGGTTGCCAATTGTGATGTCTCTAGAGGTCTTTAAAAACAGGATTTATTTCCATTTGGCCACACTAGCTTAAATACAACCTGTCTGGCAAAAGCATAAAGAAGTTGAATCTTAAAGCACTTTCTATGTTGTGTTTTTCAATCAGCAGCTGTTCAGAGCAAAGCAGGACAACTGGCACACACCCATGCCACAGTGTCACCCTGCAGCCTGCGCATATGCAAATACTCAGCTCACTAGAAAAAGTCTTCTAAAATATCCTTTACAGATAGTAGCACCTTAAATTGGTGATGTGTTTTACACAGAGATGATATGATTAATTCAAGAAATAGCAGAAAATCCCAAGAAAATAAAATACTGCGTATGTTATTATGAAATAAAGATTAAGGGCCAGCGAGATAGGTCAATGGACTAAGCACCTGCTTAGACAAGCGCAAGGACAAGGATTCAATCCCTGGCACCACATGCCACACTGGCCCAACCCCTGGGCACACTGAGCCAGTGACAGAGTCTGGGTGTGATAGTGCACACTTGTAATCC